CTTGATTAGCATTGAATGGCCTTGCCACTTGAAAGCCTGGCTACTTCCTTTGTTGGGAGGTCTTAGCTGACCCTGATGGTTTCTTGTCTGGAATTCCCTGCTTTTTGAGTGTTGCTTTTTATTTACTAGCCTAATTTTAGAGGGTTTTTTTAAAAAAACAAACTAACTAGAAGCCAGACTTTGTTCATTTTCATGAGGAGTGGCTTAAGGAGCTGGGCATGTTTAGCCCGAGGAAGAGAAGGCTGAGAGGAGATATGATAGCCATGTATAAATATGTGAGAGGAAGCCACAGGGAGGAGGGAGCAAGCTTGTTTTCTGCTTCCTTGGAGACTAGGACGCAATGGAGCAATGGCTTCAAACTACAAGAAAGGAGATTCCATCTGAACATTAGGAAGAACTTCCTGACTGTGAGAGCCGTTCAGCAGTGGAACTCTCTGCCCCAGAGTGTGGTGGAGGCTCCTTCTTTGGAAGCTTTTAAACAGAGGCTGGATGGCCATCTGTCAGGGGTGATTTGAATGCAATATTCCTGCTTCTTGGCAGGGGGTTGGACTGGATGGCCCATGAGGTCTCTTCCAACTCTTTGATTTTATGATTCTTCATGGTTTCTTTCTTTCTGTTGAAATTGTCCACATGTTTGTGGATTTCAATGGCTTCTCTATGTAGTCTGACATGGTGGTGTGCGAGTGGTCCAGCATTTCTGTGTTCTCAGATAATATGCTGTGTCCAGGTTGGTTCATCAAGTGCTCTGCTGCGGTTGACTTCTCTGAGTCAGTCTGCAGTGCCTTTCATGTTCCTTGATTTGGACAATTTCAACAGAAAGGAGGAAACCATGAAAATGAACAAAATCTGGCTACCACTATTTTAAAAAACTCTAAAATGAGGACAGTAAATAAAGAGCAACACTTAAACAACAGGGAAATTCCAGACAGGAAACAATCAGGGCTAGCTTGCACCTCCCAACAAAGGATTCCCCCATGCAGTAACCAGCAAGGCCATTAAATGCTAATCAAAGTAGCCAATTGCAACATTCACACCTGCGTCAAACAGACAAGAGTTCTTTCTCCCGCCCTGGACATTATTCCACACATATATAAACCCCACTTGTCTAATTTCCAACAGACCTCACAACCTCTTAAGGATGCCTGCTATAGATGTGGGTGAAACGTCTGGAGGGAATGCTTCTGGAACATGGCCAGACAGCCTGGAAAACTCACAGCCACCCAGTTAAGGCACTGCTGCAAGAAGCCCAGCCTAGAAAGCATCCTTCTTGACCTAAGGCGGGTCCTTCCTTCCCTCCCCATTTCAACATGTGTCGAGTCTCTTTCCAATAAAACAACCCTGGAATAAGACAATGCTTATATGGTCATATTTTCCCCTTAAATTGCTCCTGTCACCCATAGCACCATTTCTTCTTGGCAAATAGATTTAAAAAGTTCTCTTGTTGTTGTAAAAAATAAAAATACAGTAGTACAAATCTGAGGTATAACTTTACAAAACAAAATACTGGATAATTTGGCTTTAAGCTTAAGACGACTTCATTCCCTTTGGTAACAGATCGCTGCTTGTCTGGATGCAGTGTTGAAGAGTCTCTTCCGTTATGTACAAGAGTAACAGGAGGAGGGAGTCTTCGGCCAGCTCTCCTAGTAGTGGAATTTGAACCCTCTGCTCCCCTGCCAGGTCCCAGGTAGTTTACTTTCTTGCTGCAAAGAGAGAGAAAAAGGAGATGTTTATTTTGGAAAGCAGTCGTTCATGGGCAGTGAGGCAGAGTTTTCCCCCTTTTCTATTTCAGTTGTCAATAACTCCTCCTCATCCCGGAAAGGGTGGCCGCAAGATTCTGTCTTGGGCCCAGGGCTAGTCAACATCTTTATCAGTGATGTTACATCCCATATAAGTGATGTTACATCTTGTTACATCCCGAATAGACTACTGCAACGCACTCTACGTGGGGTTGCCCTTGAAGACTGTTCGGAAACTTCAACTGGTCCAGCAAGCAGCAGCCAGATTACTCACAGGAGCATCATACAGGGAGCATACCACCCCTCTGCTGTGTCAGCTCCACTGGCTGCCGGTTCAGTTCCGAGCACAATTCAAGGTGCTGGTTTTGACCTACAAAACCCTATACGCTTCTGGTCCAGTGTATCTGTCCGAACGCATCTCCCTCTACGTCCCACCCTGGAGTTTGAGATCATCTGGGAGGCCCTGCTCTCAACCCCACTGCTATCACAAGTGAGGTTGGTGGGGACGAGGAGCAGGGCCTTCTCAGTGGTGGCCCCTCACCTGTGGAACTCACTCCCTGGGGAAATTAGGTCATCAACATCCCTCCTCTCCTTCAGCAAAGCCTTACATGGACAGTTCCTTGACAAAATTGAAGGAAAAGTTGACAAGGAGAAGACCTGGTGATTGCTCAAGAATGGAACCCTGAAGAAGGAGGCAGAAGAAGACCTGGTTCTTGCAGCCCAGGAACAAGCCATCAGAACCAATGCCATGAAGGCCAGGATTGAAAAATCAGCTGATGACCCAAAATGCAGACTGTGCAAGGAAGCTGATGAAACCATGTATCATATCCTCAGTTGTTGCAAGAAAATTGCACAGACGGACTACAGAGGCACAACTCTGTGGCCCAGATGATTCACTGGAACTTATGTCACAAGGACCACCTGCCAGCGGTAAAGAATTAGTAAAGGGATCATAAATCTGCAAAGATCGTAGAAAATGAACATGCAAAAATACTGTGGGACTTTTGAATCCAGACTGACAAAGTTTTGGAACACAACACACCAGACATCACAATTGTGGAAAAGAAAAAAGTTGGGATTATTGATGTCGCCATTCCAGGTGACAGTCGCATTGAGGAAAAACAACAGGAAAAACTCAGCCGCTACCAGGACCTCAGAATCGAAATGCAAAGGCTCTGGCATAAACCAATATAGGTTGTCCCAGTGGTCATTGGCGCACCGGGTGCCGTGCCAAAAGATCTCAGCCAGCATTTGGAAACAATAAACATTGACAAAATCACGATCTGTCAACTGCAAAAAGCCACCTGACTTGGATCTGTGCACATCATTGGAAAATACATCACAGAGTCCTAGATGCTTAGGAAATGTTCGATTTGTGATTTTGTGATACGAAATCCAGCATATAGATCTCATTTGCTGTGACATACTGCGTTTTTGTGTCAATAATAATAATAATAATAATAATCTTTATTTATAAACCGCCACCATCTCTCCAAAGGGGACTTGAGGCGGCTAACATGAGGCCAAGCCCAAAAGTTACAATACAGAAGAGGCCAATCCCTCTTCAGTGCCACTGTCGAACATTTGTCCTAACCAAACTCCATGTTGATATCAGTGCTAAAGATTCGGACAGTGTTAGTCAGGGACTGCATTTCAGTTTCGGTTTTCCCATATAGCTTCAGGTCATCCATGTATAGCAGGTGTGAAATTTTGTGAGATTTCTTAAACATTTGATAGCCAGAGTTGAATTATTATTATTATTATTATTATTAATAATAATAATAATAACAATACAAGGTGAGTCCACAGCAGACACTCTGCTGGCTGTTGTATTGGATCACACGTCGGACACTTCCCAAGTGTCTAGGACTGTGTGATGTATCAGCCAATAATGCATGCAGATCCCAGTAAGGTGGCCTTCTGCAGCTGGTAATTTTGTCAGCACCGATTGTGTTTAAGTGCAGGCCAAGATCTTTAGGTACTGCACCCAGTGTGCCGATCACCACTGGGACCACCTTGACTGGCTTGTGCCAGAGTCTTTGCAGTTCGATTTTTAAATCCTCATATCGTTTCAGCTTTTCCAGTTGTTTCTCTTCAATCCTGCTGTCGCCTGGGATTGCAACATCAGTGATCCATACATTGTTTTTTAACACAATTGTGAGTATTATGCTCCAAAATTCTGTCAGTCTGAATCCAGAAGTCCCAGAGGAGTTTGGCGTGTTCATTCTCTGTA